CCTAGCCAATCCCCAACACCCTCAACCACTGCCACCACCTCCTTCACCCTCCTTCCGACCCACAAGCACTCATCCATTAGCAACCCGGTGCGAAAGAGTTAGGAGTCTTAGGACCCTCTGCTGAACTTGGGCTACCTGGCATGCAGACTAACAGATCACAGTGGCAGACTATCAGACTGCAGTTATTATCAGGCGAGCCGCTTGCACCTGCCAGCGAACACTCTGCCTTACCATCACATAACTTTATCATATTAGCACAGACAGGCTATATACGTTCACAGTTATGGCGTTGGGTTCAAGGGAAGACAAGTAGCAGTCTTCCAAAAGACAGAGGGCTGTGGTGGGAGAGGGATAGGTGCAGAGAGAGAAAGGAAAAGGTGAGAAGGTAGATAATTGTGGGGAGCATGAGCACCGTGACCGTGTTCAGGTGGAAAGTATCACCCACTTGATTAAAGCATGACTGGAAGAGCCGTCCCCTACGGACGGCCTCTGTTATTGCAAATGCAAAATGCAGAAATTGACAACCTAGATGTTAACCAAACCCAAAAAAAAAGAAAAAAAGACGTCAACCAAGCCAAACCGAACCAAACCAAATGGAACCAAACCAAATCGAACCAAGTCAAACCAAACCAGATCAAACTAAAGCATACCAAACCACACATGGTACATACCAAAGGGACGATGAGCGAGAAACTGGACAGCATCTCAGCAGCCAACGACCTGGCAAGCGGCAGTGACCAACGGTGAAACGACCTCTCTGACATCCGAGCATTCAAGAGTGCCATTGGGATCTGCAACAAGTCAAACAGTCACACGATGTCAATTGTCTTCTTAACTTTGAGCAATATCACGATCGTGTCCAATTCCCTCTTCAAACTCTATGTAGCATATAGACGACGACAACGAAGAAGAAGAAGAAGAAGAAGAAGAAGAGCAACTAAGATGTGCATTCAAAGATGCCTTGTGCGGTAGCGAGATCTGAAGTGCAAGTTCTCCAGTTATAGGCGAGGGTATGGTTAGCGAATGGACAGATGGCGTCCATCCAAAATTCCAGCTTACACTGGAAGGATTGGCGAAACTCCAGTTATAAGAGGGGCAGGCTTTTTTTTTTTTTTTTTTTTTTTTTTTTTTGAGAGGGGCAGTTTAACAGAGCGGGACAAGGAAATCTCTCGCTGGGCTCTGTGTTTTTCAGCATCCGCCTATACTCTAGGATCCAACAACGGAGGGAACTGACAGCCTACCGAGGCTGAGAGGCGTAGAGATATCAAGGAAATCATCCAGACATAAAGAAGTAGAAGAGAGACAGAGGGAGAAGACAGGGGAGGGGCAGAGGCAAATGCTTTCCTAAATGGGAAGCAATCAATGCAATTGACTCAGATTCCTTCAACCATAACAACGGAAGAAGGCACATGTACAGTGGATATTGATGTGAGGGGTGCTGGATCCGTTTTTCAGCAAGTTTTACCAAACTCCCAACATTTTCTCAAACAAAAAAAAAAAACAGAAAAAAAAAAAAGATAGAAGAAGAAGAAGAAGAAGAAGAAGATGGATGATATCGAGTGGGTTGCATTACAAGCTGTTGCTCTCTCGCAGGTGTTTTTGCATGCTTCCTTTTCTTGTGTATGCATGTCACCCAACTCAGCCAGACTGTCATTTCGTCCTAATCTCCCTCTGATTATACGCTGCGTCGCGGCTGCGACCACTCATCACCAAACTAACTGATATTCCCTTCCACTCTCCACCCGCCTGTCCCCAATCCTGCTCCTTTCTTCTTCTTCTTCTTCTTCTTCTTCTTCTTCTTCTTATATTTGGACCATTTCTCGATTTATGCATGTCATCCTTGCGCAGGGGCCACGCTAATCTTCTCTGTATCGTTCCAATTTTAACGGATGTCCCGAAGGACATCCTGCTCCTTTCTTCTTCCTTGTGCAACAGCAGAATTGAAGTCAGACCGAAACTGAACACAAGCTCACATGAATCGCTGCTTGCTTTTCTTTGAAGCTGCTTGAGAATAGTCGCTCATCATACTTGGCCCATGTGGCAGAATGAATGGTGCACCCAGAGATTGATAAAGAGACCTAAGCTCGAATCCTCGTGAGAATCAGATGAATGAAACATCTCAGAATTACCTGGAGTCGGCCAGTTCTGTGATGATAGCCCAAGGCCGTTGTCCTCCTCGAGATTTTTATTTCCACTATTTTTTGTTAACATGCACAGAGGTGATGATGATGCAGCTCAGTTTGCATATCGGATTCTGAATATTAGCCATTACAGAGGCCCGATACATCGTCGAGAGTTCCAGTAAATTCTGGCTTTCAGGGAATGTTACCGCAAGAGTCACAGAAGAGAATCACAGAGAGTAGCAGAGAGATGTGGAGAACTGTAAGGCGTGGGGGGAGAGAGAGAGAGAGAGAGAGAGAGAGAGAGAGAGAGAGAGAGAGAGAGAGAGAGAGAGGGAGAGAGAGAGAGCGGGAGAGAGAGAGAGAGAGAGAGAGAGAGAGAGAGAGAGAGAGAGAGAGAGAGAGAGAGAGAGAGGGAATCGTAGGAGAAAGAGGAAGAGTGAGAGGGAGTTGAACGTACAGACAGCAGTAGAAACGTCCTAGAAAATAATGAAGAGTTGCAGAAGGAATTTGAGACTACGAGGAATGTGGGAGTCAAATGTGATGGACAGCAGAAGAGATACACACTTGCAATATTGGACGTGCAAGGCTTTACTTTCACAGAATGCACGTCCTGTCCATGGTAGAGAGAGAGTTAGGGAGAGGGAGAGGGAGAGGGAGAGGGAAAGGGAGGGAGAGGGAGAGGGAGAGGGAGAGGGAGAGGGAGAGGCGAAAAGAGAGGTTAAGAGAGTTAGAGAGAGGTGCAGACACAGAGAGAGAGAGAGAGGCGAACAGAGAGGTAGAGAGAGAGGTGAGGAGACACACACAGAGAGACAGAGAGAGAGACGTGAGGAGACAGGGGGAGAGAGAGTTAGAGAGAGTTAGAGAGAGTTAGAGAGGGTTAGAGAGAGAGAGGCGAAAAGAGAGGTAGAGAGAGATAGAGAGTTAGAGAGAGAGGTGAGGAGACACAGAGAGAGAGAGAGATGTGAGGAGACAGGGGGAGAGAGAGTTAGAGAAAGTTAGAGAAAGTTAGAGAAAGTTAGAGAGGGTTAGAGAGGGTTAGAGAGGGTTAGAGAGAGTAGAGAGGTGAAGAGAGTTTGAGTGAGAGAGAGAGAGAGGCGAAAAGAGAGGTAGAGACAGATAGAGAGTTAGAGAGAGAGGTGAGGAGACACAGAGAGAGAGAGAGACCTAAGGAGACCGGGGAGAGAGAGAGAGAGAGGAGGCTGAGCCAGTACCTGTTGTTCTGATGCAGTAAGGACGAGCGTTGGCCACAGCTCACTTTCCATGAAGATTCCAGCCTGTGGTTGCCAATACGACAAAAACCTGCTCACTGCCGACGGTGTGTCTAAAGGAACAAACTGAACAAAACAAAAAAAAAAGACGAAAATGCGAGAACCACAGCACATACAAAAGCGGAACACAACAACATCCCGTCCTACCATCAGAACAATCCAATTTAAACTTCAAACCTTGACGCACGATCGCAGGCCAATCATCAAGGCATTCACTCTCGTCACACCATAGCACAAAGATGATGCGAAAATCCTTTTTTCTCTAACGAACACAAACACAAACACACACACACACACACACACAAGAAAAAGAAACAGAGAGAGAGAGAGAGAGACCGTTGAAGAGAGACAGAAACAGAGATGGAGAGAGCGGGAAAGATGCACTGCAAGGACATACTGGGCACGTAACACCAGCATATACTACAAGCAAAAACAAAAATACACACAGAAAGAAAGAAAGAAAGAAAGAAAGAAAGAAAGAAAGAAAGAAAGACAGACAGACAGACAGACAGACAGACAGACAGACAGAAAGAAAGAAAGAAAGAAAGAAAGAAAGAAAGAAAGAAAGAAAGAAAGAAAGAGAGAGNAGAAAGAAAGAAAGAAAGAAAGAAAGAAAGAAAGAGAGAGAGAGAGAGAGAGAGAGAGAGAGAGAGAGAGAGAGAGAGAGAGAGAGAGAGAGAGAAAGAGAGAGATGTCATGCAAAGACGTACCTGGCAGGTAACATTTGCAGGTAGTACATCTTTGAGACGATTACTGCATCAGCGAAATAGACGAAACAGACGAAATAGACGAAACAGACGAAACAGACACCAACAGGACCAAAATGCAGAGGCAAGTCAGCCAATAGTGGAGTAACGGGGGGGAAAAAAAGAGTAAAAGTCGGTCACTACAGTAGCCTACCTACCAGGAGCGAGGACGCCCTGTGCAAAAAAAGGAAGCCGGGGCAAAAAAAAAAAAGACCCAGACCTTGACAATGATAGGACAAAGGAGACCAGCATAAATAGATGGGACAAGGTTCAAGTCCCATTGGGATGGACGAATCAGACCCATTAATTATATTATAGGCTTTATAGCATAATAAAAAATAATAGTAAAATAACGGTCAGGAAACCCATCAAAACAAGGCGACCAACGTACTGGCTGACTTTTTCCTTTCTTATTTTTTCGGGAAAGCATTGAAACTTCTTTGTCTTCTCGTCCTATTATCATTACAAAGCAGCAGTCACAGGGCGCTCTCACACCAGCTCAATCAATCTTAAATGTATGAGACCGCATTTACGGCCAGACCTGGATGTATCTGACGCAATCACGTCCAGAAATAAGAAAAAAAAAGGCCTAGTGTGCGTATGCCCTCAGGGTTGATGAATGCAATCTTGAGAGATTGTGGTCCTACTCTGTCGCAACTCCTCTGAAGGCTCCAAGATCTATATAGGTGGTGGGGACCACAGCAACTCCGTTGTTCTAACTAAACCCGATTTTCCAGCACTAGAAGGCTGCGGGTCAAGCAGAGTCGGTCCATAGCATGCTAACCTCGAGATCTAGCTAGCTGACTTAACCACGGTACTACCGTAGTACTATGCGAAGCTAATCTGAGTCTCCCGCCCTGGACCACAGTTCTAAATTAACCCATTAACCCACTATTACTTCTCCGCTGCTAGAAAGCGGCGGATCCAGCAGAGCCGCTCCATAGCATCCTAACCTCGAGATCTAGCTAGCTGACTTAACCATGGTACTACCGTAGTACGTAGTACTATTGGAACCTAACCCGAGTCTCCAGCCCTGGACCACAGTTCTAAATTAACCCACTATTACTTCTCCGCTGCTAGAAAGCGGCGGATCCAGCAGAGTCGGTCCATAGCATGCTAACCTCGAGATCTCGCTAGTTGACTTAACCATCGTACTACCGTAGTACGTAGTACTAGTGGAACCTAACCAGAGTCTCCAGCCCTGGACCACAGTTCTAAATTAACCCACTATTATTACGATGTTTTAACCACAAAAACCCTAAACCATGTTCGAAGCTGATTCCGAACCTGATTGTCCAGCCCTGGACCATCATAGAGTACTAGAAAAGCAGAAAAAAAGGAGTTCCTCTTTTCTAAGGTATTATGATCCGAACCTAACCTGATTTTCCAGCGCTGGTACTCTCCGAGACTTATCTGATTCTCCGTACCTAGCCGGATTCTCCGAACCTAATCCGACTCTCCGTCCCTACCTTCTTCACCCCAATAACAACCTTACGATCATCGTAGCTGTATTTGGGGTATATTTTGGTCCAAATTCAGCAATAATGAACGTACGTCGTATTCGGGGTGAAGAAGGTAGCCTGATTCTTCGAACCTAACCTGATTCTCCGAACCTAACCCGAGTCTCCAGCCGCGTTTTTGGATATAATAGGGCATCGATCCACTACGCAGCACTGTACATGCATTTGGACGCTTTAGCGACCAGGTGCATTCGGACGATTCCAACGTTGTGAATGTATCCGGTCAAGAAAGCGTGCAAATGCATGTACGGTGTCGTGTCCAGCCTTTTTTCTTTTTCTCTTTTTCTTTTTTTCAGTCTGACCCCCTAGTGCGTACCAATTTTTGGCGGGAACAGGCTGGTCGGGAGTTGACACTGCCTACTTTGCAGGACTCTCCCGCCGTGCAGGCCTCCCGGCAAAAAAAAAAAAGAAAAAAAAAGAAAAACCATCTGATCCAGTTTTGCAGGGTGTACCACAGTAACTTTTTTTTTTTTTTTTTTTTCCCTTTTTGGGGGAGGCGGGTGCTCTTGCACATACGACTTTTTTACTCTTTTTTGGACGTAATTGCGGTCAGATACATGCAAGTAGGGCCGTAATTATGGTCAGATGGATTTAAGATCCTGCCCCCTAATCCCGGTACGGCCCCACCCACACTTGTAGGTACGTGCTGTGATTGATTTTCCTTTTCTTGTCTCAGCAGATCCGTCAACAATGTCTAATTCTTCGACCAGGTTCACCATGGACATGGTCCAAGACTTGCGTAACATTCATAGGCGATACCATTTCACAGCTGCTAACATACAATTTCCGTTGGAAAGAACAGAACGTTTATATTTTATTTTCTTTATTTTATAAACGAAAAACGAGACATTTTCAGTTTCCACGTCCGTAACATTCTCAGCAACATTGGGGAGGGGGAGGGGGAGGGGGGAAG